GKMGYRTAGATGGCCAGCTTCGACGCGTGGAAGACCCGATGCACTGTAAGGTGCGGTGGAATGTTGATCACGAAGGAAGGACCTGCGGGGTCGTCTCCAACGGCACAAGTGACTTCCCATGGTCCGAACCATTTCGGAAGGAGTTTGCGCGAAACGTCCTGCTCGAGCGCAAATTCCTCGGAGAGGACCCAAACAAGGTCTCCCTCGTGGAAAGGACATGGAAGTCAACGTCGGTTAGCTTGCTGTTGCATGCGGATTTGAGCCTTTTGCATATTAGCGCGGGCTTTGATCAGCAAGTCCCGGTACTTTCGAACGGAAGCGGGAGAGCAAGGGACGTCTATGTTGGCAGCCTGTGGCAAAAGGAGATCAGTGAAGATCCGTGCTTTCTCTCCACCATGATGTAGCTCGAATGGTGTGACGCAGATCGTCGGGTGCACCGAAGTGTTATAGGCGAACTCGATGTCGGGAAGCCGGTCAACCCAATCTTTCTGGWCGGGACGGATGAGCGTACGCAACATCATCTGAGCGGTCTGGTGCGCTCGCTCCGTCTTGCCATCCGTCTGCGGGTGCCGAGCCGAGCTCGGCTTTATTGTCGTACCGGGCTCAGCCATGAGGGAAGTCCAAAAGGTCGACATGAAACGAGTATCTCGGTCCCTCACTATGTCTTCCGGAACACCTTGGTTGGTAATCCAACCGGTGTGCAAGAGTCGTGCGAGCTCCGGCAATGCAGCATGATACTTGCACGGAAGAAAGCGAGCGTACTTGCTCAAACGGTCAACGACCGTGAGAATACCGTCATGGCCGTGGCGATCGCGGGGGAACGGGCCTGTCACGTCCATAGCAATGGAGAGGCGCGGTGCCCGAGGAATCGGCAACGGTTTCAGTTTGCCGAAGGGGACTCGAGATCGACCCTTGTTACGGTGGCAAATTGCACATGGCTCAACGTACCTCGTAAGTCATGGAGGACGTCGGGCCAGTGAAAACGCTGGCGGAGGCGTGCTAATGTGCGGTTCACGCCAAGGTGTGCCGAAAGTTGTGCGTCGTGGAATTCGCCGAGAAGACGAGTCCGTAAGATRCGATCTTGGGGCACAACTAACAAGTCCTTTCCTCTCGTGTGAAGGAGAAGGAACCCGTCGGARATCCGATAATGGCTAGCCGGCCGGTGATCCGATGACAGCTCTGCGTAAAGCGTAGCGTAAGTCGGATCGGACTTGTAGCCTTTGACGAAATGCGGCTGCAAATCGTCATCGAGGTCGAATGCCGTGGTCACAATGGCACAAAAGTCGGGTTGTCGTGAGAGGGCGTCCGCAGCTYGATTGGCGGGACCGGGAATGTGGCACGGATCAAAATCGAACTGGTAGATGTAATACATCCATCGACCGATCGTGCTAGTGACCGTGTCCCGCGTTTTGTAAAAGGTCAACGGATTGTTGTCCGTATTCCATTTAAAACGCCGACGCCCGAGAAGAAAGTGGCGCCACCGTTTGAGAACGGTGACGAACGCGAGTAGCTCTTTCTTCCTAGCGTCGTCGAGAGTGTTGACGAGAGGCACCTTTTGGGAGAAATACTCGACCGGATGCCAACCGTCCTCGTGACACTGTTCCAACAGCGCACCAATACCGTATCCCGAAGCGTCCGTAGTCACTTGGGTGGGAAGGGTGGGGTCATATATACGGAGGGCAGGTGCAGCTTGCATCGCTATCTTCAACATAGTGAACGCGCCACGGGCTGCGTCGTCGAACTCGAAAGGCACCTTCGAGGACTGAAGTCTCGACAAAGGAGCAACCACTTTCGAGTATAACTCGACGAATCGCTGATAATATCCAGCCAATCCCATGAAAGAGCGTACGTCCGTCGTACAACGGGGTTCCGGCCAATCCACGATGGCTTGGATCTTGTCCACTAAGGGACGAATGCCTTTCGACGTAACATAGTGGCCCAAATACTCAAGTTCTTGCTTGGCGAACTCGCACTTGTCGCAGTTCGCTTTGTACTTGGCCAGTCGCAAACGATTCAAAACAGCGCGAAGGTGTATGATGTGCTCGTCCAACGTCCTACTATAGACCAACATATCATCGAGGTAGATGAGGACGCTGCGATCGAGCAAGTCGCGGAACTCAGTCGTCATAGCTGCTTGAAAAGTTCCGGGGGCATTGGTGAGGCCAAAGGGCATGACAACCCACTCAAAATGCCCGTACCGCGTCTTGAATGCGGTCTTGTACCGATCTTGAGGCTGGATTTCAATCTGGTGGTAACCTGACTTCAAGTCCAACTTCGAGAAGTACGTTGCGCCGCCTAACCGCTCAAGGAGATCATCAATCCGAGGGAGAGGGTCGGCGTTCTTTACGGTTTGTGCGTTAAGTTTGTGATAGTCGATGCATAACCGTAGATCTTTGTTCTTCTTCCGGACGAAGAGAACAGGTGCACCGTAAGGGGAACAACTAGGGCGAATCCAACCCTTGTCCAGAAGATCATCGAGTTGTGCGCGAAGCACCTCAAGTTCCTCTTCGCTCATGCGGTAGATACATCCACGCGGAGGGACGGCGCCAGCCTCGAGAGTGATCCCGTGACGTATGGGCCGATCCGGAACCGTTCCGGTGGGAGCCTCGGAGACGTCTCTATACTCGTCCAAGAGGTGAGAAATACGTGGGTCCGGCGGTGACGCGGCTGGTCCGTCCGGCGAGGGGAGAGCATGCAAGAATACAAGGCCCATCTCCTCGAAGTCATTCCGAGC